AAAAAAAAATACATATGGTTCAGAACGGATTAACCTTATTTACATTGAACCTTGTGGGAAAATTTGATTCGGTTCGCAACCAATTCAGTTCGCAACCAGAATCGTGGAACGAATTAAGTTCGTGAACCAAGGCACCACTGTACTAATTTTAAGACATGTAAAAATACAAAAATGCATAAAAGATACGAACTAACAGATCAATTTTTTGTTTACTGAAAATTATTCCTCTAAGTTCAACTAATTTTATTCTTAGTTAAGTAGATATAGGACTGGCTTAAAGCAGTAAAATAAACATTATTCCATACCCTAGTTAAAAAGAATAATTTTGCTGCATTAATAATATATTATTGTAATTTATGTTCTTAGATGGATTTTAGCACCAGAATTTACTCCTTAATATTACAACAATATAAAATGCAAAACAATAAACCACAGAGATTAAGAAATTAGTTCAAAATAATAATATGCATTTCAAAAAATGCAATCTTGTTTCAAACACATATACCAAAACAGGAATAGCCAATATACATTCATATAAATAAATAATTAAAACAAAGATTTGGTTATTCAAGCTGAGGAATGAAATTTTGAAAATTAAGCCACCACTAATGCTTGCTGCTGGATTTAGCTATTACTTACTACTTTCTTCTGTTATGCCACTGGTAAAAATTGACTAATTCAAAGTATTTAAAAAGAAAATATATAACGATAGCATACAAAAGTCAACAAAGCATTCACCTCGCAGATAATGGAAATGGGTATATGGTGCTTCAGACAACTGAAGGAAATCTCCTCCCAGACTGTATCCCCAAAAGGGGATTACATTCATATTTGTTCTGAACACGGAAAAATGTGTATCTACCGTTGTGATTTTAGAAACTGTTGTTAGGCCACATGCAATTATGTATCAGCAATCCCTCCACCTGGCTTAATAAAAAGTACTGAAAATAAATATATCCCTCCTGATTCACCTCTGGGTACCAGTAAACAGCAGCCCTCTGCATCTGTTCTTTCCTGGGTCTCTTTCTCAAAACTGGGAAGTGTTTCCGTGCGTTTCGCGCCTATACTTTGCTAAGGGCAACGGACCGATCCGGAACCTGGAATCCCACCGGTTCCCCAAAGGCGGAGTGCCCTGAGAGGCCGACCGCCCTATGCACGGTTATCACAAGGAACTCTCGCTGCGTTAAGCGGAGGCTACTTTCAAGGAACAACACACGGTCGCCACCTTACGCGCTCTGAGCTTCAAGAACAGGTCCGGGCGTACACAAATAGGCAACCGGGGCTGCAGGTGCCGGGCGATGAGCCGCTCCGCCACAGTAACGAAGGGTAACCCCAGCGCCCGCCAGGCCACACGGCAAAATGGATGCGACATGCCCGGCCGAACCGAGGCACCAGCC